CCAACATGCGTGTGGAACACATTAAAATTCGCTGTCTTTGCAATAATGTGCCTATGCCAAAGGGAATATGTTGAATATGGAAACCTTAAAAGATATAATGCAGAAGCTGCAATTCCACATCTTATCAGATGATAATTCGAGAAGCAGCACTTATTTTTTTCCAATGCCTTTCAAGGACTGCTTTTGCTAACCCTAAGGTAAGAAAATTCTGCCTTTCTGAAGTTAAATTCATACAAAGAACAATGAAAGCAGTGTCACATACAGGTTCGGGAGTAAGAAAATTTCCGTCAAACCCGTTTTATTGAAAGATTACAGACCTGAATGATAAAGCTACTGTTTACATTAGGTTAAATGATAGACTACCAACACCTTAGTTAGATATAAATATGATATTCTGACAGTAAAGAATTCAGCCTTAAACCGCGCAGACGAGCTTAAAACGGCAATTTTTCTATTCATTAATTAACACTCCCGAAATGTCTGCCTGGTCTGGCTTTAAGCATAACTGCCAACATGCGTACCAACACATTAAAATTTCTATTCTTAATAAATAATTACTATTAACTAATACCTGCGCTTTCAAGAAGTAAGTCTGGAAAATAAATTGACTGAGTTGCCTAAATTTAATCATTATTAAAAATAAAACAAAAAGTCCATACTGTAAACACAAATCAATAAACATCTTTAGGAATAAAAAACTAAATTATAAGAACAGTATTTATAAAGAACCTTGAACAATATGATTGAGTTCAAAGACGCATGAAACCAACCTGTTAGACATTTTTTTTTTCGAAGTTTTACTCATTTATTTATTTACGTTTCTCAAGATCAGCGATCTTATTTTGCAAAGCGTCATGTCGTTACTCAGTAAACTGTCGTCTTGTCTTTCCAAATAATGTAGAAGACAACAATAAAGCAAAATTACTTTACCACTAATCACTTCCAAAAATACTTGACAGGTTTTGGAAGAAAGCTAAGATAGTGCACATAGGTAGCGTGGTTTTTATTATAAAAATCTGAAGGAACAGCAAGCTAAGGCTATAGGGCGAAAGAAATGAAGCCAGTAGGTTAGGTTAGATTACTTCAATATGGCAAAGCACACGGCAGTCAGCTTCCTAAACGAAGTGTTGCCTTCGTGGAGAATTGTTCTAAGGAAAACTGGTCTGTATTAATGTTTCATGAGATGAAATCACGAAAAACGACTATACAGCAAGTTCGTTTGCCTGACATGGAACCGGGATCGAACTTCAAGTATTCGGTAGCCTTAATCACTCAGTTATTGGTGGGCCGCAAGCCTATAAGAAAAAGCCTATCGAAGGTGCACCTGACATTTGTTTTTCTGTCCATTAGTCTTGCATTTCAGCAGGATCCATCTTGAAATACAAAGTTAATAGCTATGCACTTGATTTATTTTTAAGACTGAATTACTATTCTGAATACTTTTACGGCTGATGTCAGACTTCATAGTAGTAGTTGTTTTCGTGCATAAGTGAATTACTTTTGAGCAGTTAGCAAAAGGTCTGTCTAAGAAAGAATAACAATACTTTGCCGACATCCCATTTCCTCGGGATATTTCCTTGTTTTTTTCTTGTTTGTTTTCCTCCGGAAATAACATTCTTCAAGCTCAGTTCTCAGGAAAATAAAAATTCTTTTCATTTACCTGAAATCTACATTTCATATTAAACTAACACAATTAAAAAATATGTTTATTTTCACCAAAACGTAAATCAAATATATGAAAAATGTGCAAAACAATAACATGTTATATTTTTCAAAATAATCTGAGTTTCAATATAAGCAAGACGATCTTCTTTTTAATTCTGGTGTAGCCAAAGGAACTAGAAACGCCAATTTCAAGCTTATTTTACCACAGATACTACCTTTATTTTCTAATACAACAAAAATTCTTGAAAAGAATATTTTTCAATTATATATCCACGTAACTTCGTTTTCCCCATTAGTTTCCAGAAGAAAATTGCTATGATAATTTAAACTTGCGATTGTATTCTTTTGTTACCATTATTATTATTATTGTTTTGTAGCCACACCAATTATGTATCTAATACACTTTAACGAGACATAATTGACAAGATATAAAGCATTGTTCAAACATGAATTTCTTTACTCTCTTGAAATCTCCAAAGTCTCTTATGAAAGGAATGAAACCTAGTTATCTTTCTTAAAGATTTACCTCTTCTAGGAATTCTTTAGCAATGGATGCCCTGATATGTCCTGTTCCTGGTTATCTTAAGTGTTACAGATCAGGAATAAGATTATTTACAAATGCCTGTCAGTGGTCAAGTGGTGAGATAATTTAACATTGGTAATTTGCCAGAATTTAAAATCTGACGAACGGCTGACAGACAAACTCCACGAACTGCATAGGAACTTTTGTGGTTCTTCCTATATCTAACGGGAATACGAGCCAGTTTTCCTTGAAAATTCCTTCATGTATAGACATTCCTATTTTAGGCAGATAACCCTTGTGATCTTCACCATAATCAAAAGTATCAAACAAAATCGATATTAGTTTCGAAATAACTCTGGCTATTGCAAAATTAAAGACGGAGTTTCGTAATTTTTCCGTCTTATTTACCTGACAAGGAAAATTAATTCAATTATAATTTGTTAGCTTTTAATACTTGATTTATTTCCAGACAGGTTCTCCTCTGTTAAAAATAGAAAAAACATTAAAAAAATAAATGAATGCAGGAAAAAGTTTCCGGGCAAAGGGAGAACAATTTGGACATAAAAACAGAGATACAGTAAGACTCCGCTTAAAGCTGGGGATATGTTCCAGTAAGGTCCAGCGCTAACGGAAACAACGTTGAACGAAGTTTTCTTAAAACGCAAATAATGGGGATAAATGAAACATGAAGAAAATGAGAAAATTTATCAGTTTTTTGGTAACATTTATTATCAAACGCTCTTTTATTACATTAATTATAGACTAATTTATTGCTAATATCAATTTTTATTCATAAAATTTTCATGGGAGAAAAAAAAACTCGAGTAAAGAACTTAAGTTTGTGATAAGGAAGGTTCTTCCATATTTGACATTATGGTGCGTGTGAAGAAGTCATCTACCATCGTTTCGTTCAGTAATTAGTTTTCGATGGTAAGACATCGCGTCAATAACACTTCGACTAGCTTTTGAGCTTCTACCAAAATTTGTATCATTTTGTATAAATTGATTTGTAATTTTTTTTATAGTGGCTAAACGTTTTATTAGGAAATCCGATAAAGGTTTCTTTTGCTCCCCATCTTTAGAAATGCTATGCAGTTTGATTTCTGTTGTCACGTTAATTTCTTTTTTTTTCTTTTTTTTTTTTTTTTTTTTTTTCTTCCGTACTACAGTTTTACTTGCACAGATAACACAAAACAACACTTAAAAGACTGGACGTTAACTTAGAAACTGGGTGCAGAATGAACTGAAAATTCAGCTTACAGTAGGGTACAGTCATACACCTTCAGGCCAGCTTGCTAACGGCTAAGAGCGGACGGTGGTTGACAGTGGCTATCGGAGTTTCTCTAGCCATTTCGTTACTGAAAAGGGGAATGGGGCATATTGGAATTTCTATGGTTGGGAGGGGGGAGGCTTTCATTAAATTTTTTTTTTTTTTTTTACATTTCCAAGAATTATTATCCCAAAGGGAAAAAGACAAAAATTGCAAAAATAGAATATTGTAATTAATCTTCGAACAGAACAGGAAAACATTTGTATACAACAATATGCACTGTAATTACGGTAATACATTGATTAAAATGTACCTTTGTGTTTGGTGAATGGGGTCACTCGCAATCTTTTAGGCTGTCACCTAATTTTCTGCGTAAGAACGTAATCCGACATATTTGTTTGCTGGAAGCGTGGAATTCTAGGCTGCACCGTATAAGAGATGCTGGAAATTAAAATAATCTAGTTATTAATAGAGCACCTCTTTATTTCAAAGCCAGTGCTCTGTTTGATAGCAAAATTATTTAACTATTAAAAAAAAAAAAAAAAAAGGTGATCCTATTGATATCGGGACGCAAATTAGTGGATTCTTCTGCTAGAGCGATATTATGTTATGTTATGTTATACTATTAGAGTTTTTATGGGAGATATCAAGTTAAAAGAAAAAAAATCTCAAAGCTTTACCGATTTTATATTATCGATTTATTTCAAATTTTATATGACGCCCAAAGTGATTTTATATTACTCCCGTTTTTTATTTACCCACATATATAGGTTTCGAGAGCTTTGAGCTAAAAATATTTAAAAACAACATATCTTTATAATTTTCGATAGAAAGTCTTGCGTGCTGGAGATAAATTTATGATCAGATTTCTGTGCATATAGCTAATGCTCGCTTTAAAATAATTTTGTTAATAAAAAATTCGTTGAAGTTTTACAAAATATGAAATAGACAATAAAAATTTCGAAATTACAAATTCAGGTTTCCAGGTGCCCATACTCGGGACTACACTATTCAAAATTGGACGGCTCTAGGTACCGTTGTTTTTTCACAATACGAGAAGCATGCACACATTCATGCAGATTATTCCTTATTTAATTTCTTTAAATATAATATAGAGCAATCATATTTGGTAGCAATAATCTGGAAAGTGAAACGGACATTTATAGTGAACCGACACAAAATGCCGTTTCGAGACTAATATCCCTTCTGGGCTAAAGACTGGAAATGCTAATAAAAATATGATATTAATCCATGAGAACTGAATGAGATAGGCACAGAAACAAAGAATTCGGGAGAAGGGACAAAACATTATTAAAATTGCAGGCTATTCTTTATATTCGTGCCAATTCATAGTTTTCAATAGTACTTTGAAGAATAACATTTTCGAGAACATCACACATTTTTTCTTTTATACTTTATTTGCATTTCAGTCAAATGTACTTCTAACATTTAACGTAAATTTTTTATATATTTATAATCTATTTTTTACCTATATTATCTGTTTTTTAGCATTCATTAAATTATTTTTGACTGCCTTTACAGGTGAGGTATACTGGTCACAGAGACAGGCCTGCAGAAGAAAGGAAACTTAAATTTAAAGCTGCTTGTCGAGAAGGATACGTAGACATCGTAAGAGTTCAGTTTCTATTATTTTACATGTAAATACTTAATATTTTCATACTTTGAGGCATGCATATATTAACCTGTAAGAACAGCCCGATCATAAAAAAAAAAAAAAAAAAAAAAAAAAAAAAATCAAAGCTTTTTAAGAGGGTATCCGCCGAAAACATCGCCGATGAAAACATCTCGGAGAAAACAACGCAAGGCGAAAACGGCGTAGTACAAACATCGTGGTCGAAAATAAAGCGGTTTAAAAACATCGTGGTCGATAATAAAGCGGTTTAAAAGCATCGTAGATGAAAATATCGTGGTAAAAAATAAAGTACCTACAAATCATCGCATGACGATTACATCGCACACATGCGTTTTCAGGCTTCAATAATTGTTAAAGGATACTCGCATAATGATTTGGGAGCGCAAGAAGAAAAGAGGAATATTTTTACTTCTATGTTTCATATTTTTGAATGAACTAACAACTTTTTGCTGAAAAAGCAAGAAGGAAACTTGTAGAGACATTAGGATTTTTTTAAGAAACAGGGGATTTGAAAAATGAGAAACGCCTTCGCCGGGAATCGAACCGCGGACCTCTGGAATACGCGCCCAGCGTGCAGACCCCCGAAGGCACGCTAAAAAAAGCGGGTGAAATACCTTATAACTTAAGCAGTTGAAAATTAATGCAGTTATAGCACTTAATTTTGAATTTCCTTAGTGAATTAACAAAGGTTATTAATAACTCAGTCTTTTTTATAAAGTTTTACTGATAACTTTTCATGAAAAATATAGTCTAAAAATTTTAGTTAAAAGATAAATAACTGCAAGAGGTTACCTCTATAAAAATTCCTTAATTAATTATCAAATTATTTTCTTTCATGTTTGTGAATTTGTTATTGTGAAAATTATAACTTGTTTTGTTTTCATTTATTCTTAAAGTGTCGTTAACATTTTAACTCTCTTTCCCTCTTTCTTTCTTGCGCTTCCAAATGATTATTGGAAAATGCATTTACAACTTTACTCTTTTTACGCCCTATATGCAATTCAACAGCAATATTACAAAAATTTTAAAAATAATATAGCAGTATACGTTTACAGTTCCCGATGCAACCTTAAGTGTCGACATTTTTTTTTTTTTTGTTGTTGTTTTTACAGTCTTTTCTCAGTTCATCATATCAATGTTCAGTTTTTTACTAAGATGGCTTTACAAAACGTTTTTTTATCTTTTTATTATTAAAACATTATGTGTTTACTGTATTTATTAAATATCACGTTCTTCACACTTACGCCACATAAAAGGCCATTCGACAGCAAAATCACAAAATATTTTAAAACAGCATATCTTTAGATTTTCCGATAAGCAGTTTTTCGTGCTGGAGATAAAAAGGCTTTATTCCATACAGTGCTGCCATTGCTCGCTTTAAAATCGCTGAGTTTGTTAATGAAAAATTCGTTAAAGTTTTATAAAATATGAAAGAGATAATAAAACAATCTTGAAATGAACAGTTCGGGATTCCGTGTGCTCATGTTCGGATGGAGGATTACGTTATTCAAAATTTGATAGCTCTAAGTACCGTCATTTTTCAGTGCAGGATACTTACATACATTCATGCAAATTTTTCATTATTTAATTCCTTTTAATATAATATTATATTATATATTATATTTGGTGGTAATAATTTGAAAAGTTTGTGTAAAAAAACAAAGTGATCCGACGCATCACTTTGTTTTGTGTGTTTCGACGCAAAATGCTGTTCCAAGACTAATATATCATTTTGGACTAATATTCCTTTTGGGCCAATTAAAAAAAAGAGTGCTACTTTGTTCCAAAATATGTAATATGACTGAACAAGAAATGAGAGCTAAAGTTACATGTTTAGTTTTATTTAAAGTATGACGACAAAATCTGACAATTATGTTTGAGATTTTAGCGATCTTCTCAAATTGCGAACGCGTTTAAAGCCCTGTGCCAGAATACGTTTTCCCCAAAACTACGCTGAAAAGTATAAACACTCTCTTATTAGTATCCTCTGTGAAACAGAGCTACTAACACATTTTCCCCCCTAATATTGTAAATGAGTTCAGCAGCGTACTCCGAATAGATCGCTGAATGCAATTGTTGCCCTCGAATTCCAGCTAGAAACCTCCCTTTCAAACTTATGCTGGCAGAAACATGTTTTTCGGAAAACTTTTTTGCAATGCTTGTCTCCAGATCATATAACACCATTCGAATTCTAAGTAAATTCACCCGGCTTTTGACGAGCAGGTCGATACTGTTTCATATGTAGGAATACGACATAAGGAGGGAAGTGTAAAATGTTTTTACCTCCGTTGTTGCTTTTAGCAAATTTAAAACGTGGCTCTGATCACTAAGTTACAAAATATGTTATTTCTTATTCTATTAAAATATTGACAAACCGGAAACTGTCGAAAGAAAGGTGTTTACATAAATAAATAAAATTTTGAAATCAGTGCAAATGTTTCCAGAAACTGACAATGGTAATTAAATACATTATTCTCTTGATTGTTTTCCTTATCCCATGAGACAGATGAAGAGATGAAAGATTATTCTCAGGTAGTTTAAGAAAAAAAGGTAAACAGATAATTTAGCTGCAAAATTAGAATTTTTCAGTCTTCATATGTTTGGAAAAATAAAGTTAAAATTCCAAAAACGTGCTTCAGCAGTTATCTGTTAGAACGCTAGTATAGGAAGCAGATATTTTATATCTACTTTTCTTTCCTTTTTTAAAAGTGAAAGACAGTTTGATTCTTTAAAAATATGGTGAATCTACTGATTAGTACAAGCCGAAGAAAAAAAAATTCCTTCTTTACTAGTAGTAGAAAATATTCAGTATAGCGATATATTAGAGCACACATGATGCAATGCCAAAAGCAAATGTATAATGTTAACTTAATACATTCCTTTTAATAATAATTTATGACTTAAGTATCTATTATGGACTATTAATTTGCCAGTGACAGAACTCGCCAATTCTTTTAAGACATCTAACAGCAGATTTTCCAAGCTTCACAAGATAATAATAGCTATTATCTATAGAATCTTTCTCAATTCACACACACTTGTAGAAAGTCTTCATCTTTTATTTTTAATTCTTCCACAGTATTCACTATAACTTTAACTGTACTACTACTATAACCTTAACTGCTATCATTAAGTTCATCATCGAATTAAAATTAATTAAGTTTAATGACTGAGAAAGAAGTTTTAAGAAATCTTCGAATTATTTATCAAATTTGCTGAATTTTTAAGCAATAAAAGCAAAAATAGATTAGTGGTATTAATCTTAATCTGGTACTATGTTTTCCCTTATAAAAACACTGTACTGAAAACTTCACCCACTTCTTACGCTCATAGTAACATTTAAAAAACTTAATATTTTTTAAACTTTTACATAAAAGAAAACGCATTTACCTCAAAGTACGGTACTTAGACTATTTAATTATTTTTATCATATCTATAAAGCTCATCTTTTCAAGATTGCTGTTTATTTTTTGTTTAAGTATTGGCAAATGTACGCGAAATTCATCTGCCCAAGAAGGGATGTTTTTACGAAGGATTTTTCAAGGGAAACTGGAAAACGTTTGTTTACATTTGGAACTTGGTTAGCTTGGTGAATTAAGTCACTTTCTGTACCAACTTCAGTACCTTTTTGCCGAGTGGGGTCAAAAGTTTCGTGCACCGAAAAATCTGTCTTTTTGCCCAAATTTAATTAATTTAAACTCTAATTTAAATTAAAAATTTTTTTAACCGTTCTTAATTTAATGTTTTAGGTTTTTCTGTATTTTACAATTTTTAATGAAGATGTTTTGAGTTTTTACATATTTTTCCCTTGCCGCGAAGGGAGAAATGAATTGATTGAATGAGAAATATATCTCTAATGAATTTCGGGGAAGTAAGTTTAAACGAAATACAGCAAAAAATGTGCATAATTTAATAGGCCGTAGTCATGTAATGTCCATATCAGAATTTTTTTTTTTTTTTTCCTAGGCATTTGTAAGTACTGGAACGAACTTGCAGCTATTATTTGGACCTCTAAGTAGCGGAAGAAGAGACAGATGCGAGTTTGATCCAGACAAAGGCAAAGTAAGTCTAAATATTTAAAGTGTTTAATTTTTTTTTTTCTTGGGAACTTTATACTATTATGAATTTTACATAGAATACCGGAAAGCAGATGTATAGTTTTATAAAACTCGATTAGCAGATACTGTCATTTATGCTGCAGACAACTTTGCAACGGGTCTTAATTTTGATTTTTTAGGATTATTTCTGTATATGCGGTAGCGGAAAGTCCAGAATGCGTGTAAATACAGGGTGATCATAAAGAAACTTCCCCAATTTACGAGCTCCTAGCGGCATTTCGCTCAACCAGTCGAAATGAAATTTCAGATATTGTTATTTGAAGGTATGCGCTTGAGATTGCAATGATTTAAAACTTTAGAGCTCTCCCGATTACGGCTACAAAGAAAAACTTTCGATCGAGTCTGCGAAAGTGAACACGTTGAAAACTTGTATTTCCAATAAATGTCCCCCCCCCGTCTCCTCTCTTGTGTTGTCATTGGGTCTTTAAAAATGCTCTTCTTTGCAAGTGTTTTACACCACCAATTTTTGTCATACGTGTAGCGTTCTAGCCATTTTTGATTTTCAGTGCATTCATCATTTGCGCAGATGGGTACCTCCATTCGAATTTTTTTCAGTGTCGCCGTGATCGTGAGAGCTGTGTTGTTTTAAATCATCACAATCTCGAGCGTATACATTCAAATAACAATTTCTGAAATCTCATTTCGATTGTTGAGCGGATAGGTCGCTAGGGGCTCATATATCTGAAGTTTTTTTATGGCTACTTATACTTATATAGTGCAGGAAAATAAAATTTTATGCAGGAATTTAAAAAATTATCTGACTTTTAATGAAAGGGCACATTTTTGTCTGTCATTGTTGTAGACAAACGCAGCGTCAAAAGTACTCATACACTGGTAAAAAAAAGTTGCAAAACCTTTGTTATTTTGCAAGGAAAATTATATAAGGAGTATTTAATATTATTTTCATGTATTGAAAACATTACATAATGAAGAAAAATTTTAAAAAGTAAGTTCATTTTATTTTTGGTTGGAACAAAAAACAAATAAGCATTTGGGTTCTAATTAAATGCAACATAAAATATTCATACACTAGATTTAAAACAATTAGTTATGCGTAACTTCTTGATTTTTAAGTTAATAAACATTGGGTCGGATAGCCTTTGCACCAAACGGCACTGTGGGTCCCAAGAAAGTGTTGCTAATCCTGGATAGCTAGTATGAGCGGCCTTACCCACTTAGTCAGGAACTCAGGGTAAATAATAGGTGGCTTCTGCACTTATATCTAATCTAACCTAACATAGCCGTTAGCTTTTTTGACTGTTGTTAATCTTCTAGGCATGAAATTAATTAAGTTTTTGCAAAAATATGATGTAATTTTGTCCCATTCCTCTTTTAAGGCTTTTTCAATTGCATCTTACTGAAAATTCAATTAATTTTCACTTTTTCTTCCAAACGCTCCGATTCGTGTTCTGTAACATTTATCTCTCGTGACTGAGTACACTGTAAAAAAAAATCTGTAAAGTTACTAAGAAAACTCATGGAAACTGGGATGCCATGGGTTATTTGAGTAACAGAAACAGGTGTTTTCTTTGTAACATTACAAGAGTTTTGCCTGTAATGGTTACAGATCTTTTTCTTGTAATATCACAGCATATAGTTATGTAAGTAGAACATATTTTTTCTCATGTAAATTCCCAAACGATATATCTGTAATGGTTACAGATTATTTGCGTGTAATATTACAGCAAATAATTATGTAGAAAAGAACATGTTTTTCTCATGTAAAATCTCAACAGATATATCTGTAACCGTTACAGGTTATTTACTTGTATTATTATAGCAAGTTATTATGTGAGTAGAAGATACTTTTACTTACGTAAAATTCCAATGGTTGTATCTGTAAAGGTTTCAGATTATTTCCTTCTAATATCCCATTAAGTAATTATGTGTGTAGAATATATTTTTCATAGATAAATACTAAAGGATATGTTTATAAAAAGTAGATTTTTTTTGTCTAAAATGATGCTTATTATAATAAATATATTGAAATCAAGATGTTTTGAGTAAAAACAATATCTTCATGTGTATATCATTATACAGATATATGCAAGTGAAGCATAATAGTTTGGCTTTTTAAATTAGTCAATTTTGACCTCAGAATAGCATTAATTTAAAAGATGTGCTTTCAACAGCAATGTTCTTTTTCAAAAAGTAACATTAGTCTGTTGCAGAGTATTTTTGTTTTATGAAGAGAAACTTATGTCTGATATTATTGAAAGGCCTTTCATATTATCATTTCGATTAATTTAAAAGTTCAATTGATATGCTACTCCTTATATTTTGCCCTGTAAAATAGCTGAAAAAAATAGTATGTTTTATTTGCATGTTTTAGTGTCAGTTAATAAGATATGTTCTAGAACTTTCTTTTTAGTAATTTTAGCTAAAATAGACACATGTTGCTTTAGATTTAACTTATATGAGTAAACGTGTTGCATGTTGATATGATCATATTATTACAGTAAAAGACATTTTGTGAAATATTTCTATGAAGAACTCAGAACAGCTGTTCTTCATATTTCAAAAATATATTCTCTCCTTCTAAAAAATGACATTTTCAGTAAATTAAAGAATTCAACATAGCAATGAACTTCATTTTGTTACTACAAGGAATTCAAATTTTGTTCATACGCTTGAATTACAACGTCTAACTAATTTTTTTTTTTATCTGCACTCAGTGTTTGTCAACAGTCTGCTATTGTTTGAAATAATGCATAACTTTTTTACTTACCTTCAAATAATTTCCTTTGCATTAACAGATAGAAGTCTTTCATTAAAAACCTAATGTCATGCTTTTTGAATAAGCATAAAAAACTTTGCCCACTGGCCTTAATTTTTAAAGCCTTGTTTCCCTTAAAATTTCTTAATACAATTATGCCTTTAAGAAATTTATTTCTAAAATTAATACTTCAGTTTAGCTTAAAATTTAATGCATTTTTAATTTTACCTATAATTTTTTACAAACATAATATGTAATAAATCTAAGCTTAATATTTACCATTTCGAAAGTGATACTAAAAAAGTATTTCTAGATATTATAAATTTCGAGATTCGCATACAAAATTGTGAAATAAACATGTGACAACAGAAAACAAACTTTATGCTCTCTCTATATTACAGCATGTTAATTAAGAAGTTTATTGAATTTATAATTTTATTGTGAAACACTATGAAGCAAATAATATGCTAATTAAAATACAGAAGAAGTAAAAATAATTTATTACTTAATTCCATAAACTTTACATAAAACCTGAAAAAAAATTAATTAATTAAAAATAACATAATTTAATAAACATTTCATAAAAATTCGTTTCAACTGCTTGGAAAAAAATGAATGGTTTTTCTCCTCTTTGTAAACCATGTCTCCTAAATAAAGAAAGAAACATTTCTGTTAAAATCATAATCATGCTCTTAAAAAGCTTATAAAAATTATTTTAATAGATGTTTTAAACATGTGCTTATATAACACTTTTAATCATATTTCTTTATAATATCTTAATTAATTAAGAACAGCTTAAATTCTTTAAAAAATTGGATTACAGTGAACCGTCTCATTACGACAAGCTACCTCAGTCAAATCACTTTTTAAATTTAACCAGCATTCCTCATAAAATAACTAATTAGTAAACATAACTTCCTCTAGGATGCCCACTATCATTTAAAGATCAAAATCTTCAGGAATCACGTTTCGCTAGCTTAGAGAAGGTTCATTGTACAAAAACAGCCAATATGCAAATATTTTCATAAATGAAGCCACCATAGTTATTAAATATAATATACAGTATACTTATATTCAGAATTCAGAACTTGAATAAATTTCTCGAAACTGTTTTAGCATTCGAAAAATATTATATTTATTACCTTAAATTTCTAAAACGAATATTACATATTCGTCCAAAGGAATCACTGGGACTCGGACAACATTTTCCCCCTAGCTTTCTTTTAGCAGCAGGATTCTGAAGTATGTTTTAATGATTTAGGTAATGTTTGTCTTCCTTAAGGCGCTCACAAAACAAGTTACCCTAAATGTTTTGTCCGCATAGTGGTCATTTTCATCTTACTAACTGATTTGCTAGTGGATTTTGGGTGCATGGCCTATTATTGATGAAACAATAATAGTGAACAGCTTCAAGAAAATGGGGATATCTAATGCTTTTGATGCCATATTCCCACTTATTTTTACTAATTTTATCTTCCGAAAATTAAGAGGGAAAAATTAAACGAATAATTTAATTTCCAAAGGACAGAGTCACAGTAGGAATATAACAAATGAAAAGTAATCATGGATAAACTATTACTATCACAATATTATTTATTTAAAAGAAACCTCTATTTCAATAAGAATACAGATAATTGCAACATCTAATAAGTTATCTCATTTCTTCTTTATAATTTGAACTTCTGTCATTCTCATTGTTGTTCTTGCAAATCCTTAGGCCTCAGATCATACATAAATAATTAGAGAAGGTTGTGGTCCGATGCTTGCTAGGGTGAACATTCAGCTGATATGGCAAAATTGCACAGTGAATGGCAGTTGGTATTTGCTTTCACTATCATAGATCATTGTTTGTATTAGGTTGACATAATATTCAACAGTTAGAAGAGAAAGATTCAACGGGGCCTTAAGTGTGCAAAAGTTTTGCCTTTGTTATATTGACGAAAACAATCATTATGTTGATAAATCCATTTTAAAATCTTGGGATATTCATTTTCTGAATGCAGTTAAAAAGGGGAAAATTATGTAAATATTTTTTTTAAATTTTCAGAATCTGGTTCTAAAGCTGGGTGGGGTGAATAGAATGTGCAACGCAATACGGTAATTCTGAAAGATCATTGCTCGTGGCAGTACAAACTGAACGGTGATAACTTGCATGCTGTAGAAGAAGACACAAATTGCAGTTCCAGAATGCATTAAATGCTTTGAGGTCTAGGGAGTAGCAGTGGGCA